CCGGGTGGGGGAGGGGGTGTACATTAATATGCAACAGTGATAAAATCCTCCCCCGAGCAGGGGAAGGAGGGAGCCTTGGCAGAGAGAGGGCACATTTCTTTAAACTACCTACGCCCAGAGGGCTAGTGGGACTACCGCAGCTCAGCAAACCCAGGGAACACCAAGGCATGTGTCAGTATATGTGTGTGGCGCGCGAGTTTCACACCGCATTCTGCGTGTTCCCTGAGTTTTGGATGTGCTCGTTGTTGTTTTCTGCTGGTTGCGTGCGTGCGTGCGTGCGTGCGTGCGTGCGAGCGTGTGTGTGTGTGTGTGTGTGTGTGTGTTTGTGTGTTTTGTTTGTTTGAGATCGACCAAACATGTCCAACACAGCTGACAAGCATGCAAAAGCGCACACGAGCATTAAACCCGCATCACAAAGTAATGGCACACGAGCAACCTTTTTTTAAATGGCAATGCAGCCACAACAACGACACATTGCCAAGCACACTTGGAACACAACACAGTCACACAGCGTCAACCACACACCGTGACACACAGCAGAAACGAAACGCACTAAGCAACATCAGCACGCACACATCAAACAGCAACACGAAACACCAAGATCTTACACACAGCCAGTACAAACCAGCGGTCCATCATAAACCGGCCAAGGCACTAAAAAGCAGCATCAACCAACAACATGCTACACCAACAACACATCAACACTCAACATACAGCCTGCAACGAACATAAAACACATGCCACTATAAACAAACCGTCGAATCGTGTTCAAACAACCCAAAGCCAGCAGTGAATGCAACCATGCAGCACCGACATAAAAATATGTTAACAAATGAAACAACAAACCAACCATTTGACCAACACACCAAACCACCGAAATCATGATTCGGTACTGCAAAAGGCACCAACACGTTAGAATAGCAACATGGAAAATTGTAGATCATATTCGAACCCACCCAAACATACCAAACACCAAGCACCATCAAACCATATAACAGTAATTGAACTATATCGGAGGTGAGGGGGTGAGATCGAAGTGGAACAGAGAGCCCACCTACCAGGAAATCGATTTCGGTTTCGTTTTCGTGCGTGCCGTGCGTGCGGGCGAGGCGAAATTGCGTGGGCCGGCGAGAGGAAAGTCTCATGTGGCTGAGGCGCGGCCTGACCAAATGACTCCCTTCCGGCAACCGGTGGGGCGCGGTGTCCCGCCCGTGTCCCGCCTCCGGCTGTGGCGCGGCCGGATCAAATGACTCCCTTCCGGCGTCCAGTGGGGCGCGGTGTCCCGCCGGTGTCCCGCCGGTGTTCTGTCGGTGTCCCGATGATGATGATGATGATGATGATGATGATGATGATGATGATGATGATGATGATGATGATAAGGTTGATGATGATGATGGTGATGATGGTGATGATGTCGATGATGTTGATGATGATGATGGTGATGCTGGTGATGACGATGGTGTCCCGATGATGATGATGATGATGATGATGATGATGATGATGATGATGTTGACGATGTTGATGATGATGATGGTGATGATGATGGCCATGGTGGTGATGATGATGGTGTCCCGAAGATGATGATGATGTTGAAGATGCTGATGTTGCTGATGATGATGGTGCTCCGATGATGATGATGATGTTGACGATCCTGACGATGTTGATGATGACGATGATATGATGATGCTGCTGATGATGGTGATGAAGATGATGATGGTCTCCCTGTGATGATGGTGATGATGAGGTTGATGATGATGCTGTTAATGATGATGATGATGGTGATGATGGTGTCCCAATGATGATGATGCTAATGATGGTAATGATGATGGTGTCCCGATGATGATGATGATGATGATGATGGTGATGATGTTGATGGTGAGGATGATGAGGCGATGAAGATGATTTTGATGATGGGGGCCCGATGGTGATGATGATGCTGATGTTGATGATGATGGTGTCCCGAAGATAATGATGATGATGGTGATGATGATGGTGACGATGATGATGGTGTCCCCATGATGATGATGATGTTGATAATGCTCTTGCTGATGCTGATGATGGCCCGATGGTGATGATGATTTTGATGATGTAGTTCATGATGATGATGATGATGATGATGAGATGGTGATGGTGATGGTGGTGTTCCGATGATGGTGACGATGAGGGTGTCCCGATGATGATGATGATGATGATGATGATGATGATGATGATGATGATGATGATGATGGTGACGATGGTGGTGTCCCGGTGATGATGATGATGATGGTGATGATGATGATTATGTTGATGATGATGGTCATGAGGTGATGATGATGATGATGATGATGATGATGGTGCCCCGATGGTGATGATGATGTTTATGACGTTGATGATGATGGTGATGATATTGATGATGATGACGTTGATTGTGAGATCGATTGTGGTATCGATAGGGAGATCGATCGTGAGACCGAATGTGAGATCGATTGTGAGATCGATTGTGGGATCGATAGCGAGATCGATAGTCAGATCGATAGTCATATCGATTGTGAGATCGATCGAATGAAATAGATCGAGTGATATCGATTTGGAGATCGATCGGTGATATTGATCGAGCGAGACAGATAGTGAGATCGATATTGAGATAGATAATGCGACCGATCGAGTGAGACGTTGGTTATTCCCCCCCCGAACCTCCTTATCACCCGAAGGGTGGTCGTATAGGTAAAAAAGATCATTTTTTTTTAAAAAGGGAAACATCCCAACCTTTAAACCGCACTCAGCACCACCCACGCACCACAAACCGTCAAACCACGCAACAGCACCACCCTGACGATGAACCCAACCCATGTGCAATTGTGCAATTGTGAGTACCGTGTCGTTGGTACCGCTTTCGGTGGAGCCCCCTATGGGGCCACGATCCTAGTCAGGGGTGATCCGAATTGGGTGCGGCGGTGCCATGCGAACCTTGCCACTGGGGCCTCCAGTGGAGCTTCCACTGAGGCCGCGATCCTCGTGATGGGAGTGTCGAAATGTGTGCGGCGATGCCATGCGAACTCTGCCCATGAGGGCCCCGTTGGAGCTCCCTATGGGACCGCGACCCTCGTGAAGGGTTTGCCGAAATGGGCGCGGCGGGAACCTTGCCACCAGGGCCTTCAGTGGATCTCCTTAGTGGGCCACGATTCTTGTGAGGGGTGTGCCGACATGGGCCATGCGAATCCTGCCGCTGGGGCCTTCGGTGAAGCTCCATCTGGGGCCGCGGGCCTCTTGAGGGATGTGCCAAAATGGGCGCGGCGGTGCCAATCGAACCCTGCCTCTGGGGGCTTCGGTGGAGCTCCCTCCCTATTGGGCGACGATCCTCGTGACCCGTGCTGGGCTGTTGCGGGCTTTACCAATTCCTGCCCGCCCCCTCCAGATGTTCAATAGCTCGCCTACCAGGGACAGGGAGGCCTCAGCCCCATCATTGACCACGGCACAGCGTCCATGGCATTGATTGGCCGACCGTTACTTGTCGGGGCGTCCTCGGAATTGTTGGGGTGCCTTTTGAGGTGTCTGCTCTTGCGGGTTTCCCACCGAATGCTCCAATGGCCGGGCTGGCGCGCGTGATTGTGACCTTTTCGGCATACCCCTCACGAGCTTCGTGGCCCCACAGGGAGCTTCACCGAACGCCCCAGTGGCAGCGCTCGCCCTCACTAGGACCGTGGCCCCGTATGGAGCTACACCAAAGATCCCAATGGCAGGGCTCGCATGTGTGACGGCGTTCTTGTCGGCATACCCCTCACGAGGATCGTGGCCCGATAGGGGACTACACCGAAAGCCCCAGTGGCAGCGCTCGCATGCGTAAGCGCGCCTTTTCGGCACACCCTTCACGAGGATCATGGCCCGATAAGGGGGCTCCACCGAAGGTCCCAGTGGCAGGGCTCGCATGCGTGATTGCGCCCATTTCGACACACCTCTCACGAGGATCATGGCCACATAGGGAGCTCCACAGAAGGCCCCATCGAACAATGGCGTCCGCGTTTTCATCTGCCCTGCGCGAACCCATCAATGGCGTCGTGCCCCTGCTTGTCATGCGACAGCTGTTTGCCAGAGCCTCGCCGACTCGCCGACAGACGCGCAGACCACCCTTAACGGGTCACATCCATAGGTAATTCTTTGCGGTTGCCTTGGCTGCCTTGTGCGACCCCTATCAACCTCACCGTTTCGTCCTTTTCACCCGCGCCCTGGATCATTTCGATCGCCCGCTTCCTTTTTATCCACCTGTGTTGCAGCACTCGCACCTGCATGTGGTTGGGTCCTTCGCTGGGCTAATCTTATGATGGGTCGTAGCCTCGGGAGCGCGGGCCCATTTTTGTACGAGGATCGTGGCTTCGGAAAATCGGGGCGATGCATGCAGGGGGGAGGGGGGGGGGCGGATTTCAATACAGAAGCCCTACCAGAAGCATTTGGCACTCCATCACGCCTCAAAGTGCCAGGGGGCACGGTATTGTATTAGTCGACGGGGATAAGGGGGGGGGGGGGCGGACACCCGGATTGGCTGGACAAATGATGGTCGAAATAAGATTTGAGATGAGCCGTCGTGTAGAAGAAGTATTGCACGAACAGACAATACTTAGCCTCGGCGCAGGGAGGTGGTATAGTCGAAATCTTCTCAAGATGACACCCAGTGGGGTGCGTTATCTGCGGGGCAGTCTACGCGGTTGGGTCCTGATGTGTTGGACCCTATGGGGCGGGACCCTGTGCTGGGAACGGCTGGGAGTTTATGGGGTCGGACCAAGATCGGGACCCTAATTGACAGAGTGGGCTAGCATGGAGGAAACGGGTCCTGAACCCTGGGGCCTCGATACCAGCTGTTCATCTTGAATCGTGTTTTGACCGTGTTGGGGCCCGTCCAAGGGCCCCGAGAGCCAGAAAACAGCGACGACCTCAGGACCCGTTTCGTGGGATCGTATTGCCAGGGACCGCCGGAAGTCATTGGCCTTCGCTCAAACTTTCACAGTGCGGGGCGAGTCAGGTCTGGGCGAGCACGACACCCTAGCGCAAGCTCTGCCAGGGCAATTGAGGTGTCACGGCAGCACCGTGTCATCTCGCATGGTGCCAGGGGGCGCGGTGGCGGATAGATTGAGCATGCCGAGTTATTTCGCGCGGGTTGTTATTTGGACTTGGACCGCATCCAGGGGCATCGCCGAGTGTCTCCACGTGTTGTGTATGTTGACCAGGGTCATGTTCGAGGCTGGGAACGTGCAGTTCCTCAAGCTGGCGAAGGTGTGGTTGATTCGATTGGTAACTGGCGGCAGCACCACGCTTCTGTGTGGGCAGCTTGTCCAGACGAACTTCTGGCCAGGAAGGGGTGACGACGTGCCGACTACTCTCCTAGCTATCAACAGCTTGCTCCACTGGATGTGGTTACTTTTACAGTTGCGCGCCTTACCAGCTACAGGAAAGAAGCTCCTTCCTATCATCAAAGTCGCCTGCGGCGAATCATGTCCGCCCACTGCCTTCTGTAAACACCGATGTGGCCAACCGTCGGGCCGAAGTCTGGCCAAGCTGCTGGGCAATGATCTCCCCCAGCCGTTGTGAAACCCCTTGGGGGAACATTTGAGGGAAAGGATGAGGAGAGGGAGGAGAAGGATAATGAGGTGGTGGAGGAGGAGAAGAAGCAGGAGGAAGAAGAGGGGGCCTCTGGAGCCCTCCTTGGGGCCTCTCGGGGGCTTCCTCGGAGCTTCTTGGGGGCCTCTGAGGAGCCTTTTGGGGGCCTCATGGAGTCTCTTGCGGGCCTCTGAGGGCCCTCTTGGGGCGCTTCAGGGTCGTTTTGAAGGCCATCTTGGGCGTCTTGGAGGCCTTTTGGGCCGTCTTGTGGCTCTTTGGCGGCCGTCTTGGGGCCCTCTTGGGCCGTCCTGGGGCCATCTTGAAGGCCTCTTGGGCGCTCTTGGGGGCCTCTTGGGCCAATTGGGCCGTCGGAAGGTAGTTCTGAAGCAACTGCCAACATCTAAGAGAAAACCTACGGACAATGCGTGATGTTGGCCTCTTCGGGCCTTCTTGGAGAACCTCTTGGATGCCTTTCGGCCTCTCTGAACCGACTTGGGGCCCTTTGGGGGCCCTTCGGGTCCGTCTTGGAGGCCATCTTGGGCGTCTTTGAGGCCTCTTGGGCCGTCTTGGGGCCCTCTTGGGGCCTTCTTGGGGGCTTCTTGGGCCGTCATGGGGCCATCTTAGAGGCCTCGTGAGCGATTTTGGGGCGATCTAGGGGACCTCTTGGGCCGTCTTGAGGTCTTCGGAAGGCCGAGGAACCGTTCTTGGTAGGGCGTCAGCCCAAGGGGGGGGTCCAGGGGGGGAGGACGGGCGGGCGAAAAGTCTAATCGCCCTCCGGCCTCGATATTTATCGAGTGGGATGGCCCTCCGGGCGGCTCGATGCCCACGACGGCCTAAGAGGCCCAAGAGATCGCCTCAAGGCATCCATGAAGGTCCTTAGACGGCTCAAGAGGACCCAAAGAGGCTCCAAAGAGGGACCCAAGATGGCCCAAGAGGGTCTAGTGGCTCCCAAGAGAGCCCCAAGAGGGCCTCAAGAGGCTCGCTCCCAAGAGGGCCCGAAGAGACCCCCAAGAGAGCCCCAAGACGGCCAAAGCCTTCCAAGACGCCCCGAAAGTGCCCCAAGTCGGCCCAAGCGGGCCCCAAGACGGCCCCAAATGACCCCAAAACTACCCCCAAGAAGGCTCGGATACGCCACAACACAGCGGCTTCTAAGAGCTCACAGTGACGTCATTAGCTCACAACACCATGGCTCTTCATTAGTAACTGACGACGACTGGCGTAAAACAGCTCTTAGGAGGAGGAGCACCACGAACAGGAGGAGGAGGAGGAAGAGGAGGAGAGAGCACATAGAGGGGGAGAGAGAGAGCAAGAGAGGAACCCGGGACCACACTGAGCCGGGTTACGATGACAGTGGACCCAATTTTGGTGGGTCCTGCAGCGGGCGACCCGCCTCTGAACCCACCCTAGCTTCCAGCCGGCCGCCGGCCTTGTGGAAGAGGTACGCGGGGCGGCTGCGGCCTGCTCCAGCGGCGCGGCCTGCTTCGGGCTCCTCCTTCCTTAGTCCTCTGCTCCTCTCCCTGACCTCCTCGGCCTCCTCACCTGCCTCCTCCCTCCTCTGATCCTCTCCTCCTCTGTCCCTTTTAGAGCTGTACTCCTCTCCATCTTTCTGGGGCAGCCTCCTTTGCTCCTCGTCTCTCCTCTGAGCTTCCTCGAGCAACGCCCTTCGGCTAGCTCCTCGGGACCTGGATTTCAAGGACAGGGTGAGAGACCGTTCGTCCAGGTGCCCTTCTTCGTCCATGAGACACATAGAGCCACGACAGAGCAGGTCGTGCAGCGCTAAGTTACCTTTTGCCGGATCGGCGTGGGTCAACGGATCTGCCGACATACGTCCGTGCGGCAGCCAACGTATTTGGGAGCCAGTGGCACTCAAATAATCTCTGACAACCGCGAGTTTCATAGCATTTCTCCTGTCCGACCGGGAGCCAGCTGCGTGCTTGCTAAGAGTGTCAAACACCGATTTCGCATCCACCACGGCTAGAGACGCGGCTCGACTGCTCAACTCACAAGTCGAAGACATCACAACCGAAAACGGAGCGGACCTCAGGTGCCAGGTCGGTTTCTTCACGTCCCCCAAAACGGCATCGCGCCACAAAACCTGCAAGTACTGAGCCTCTGCCACCGCTCCACTTAGAGCCTGCGTCTCAGCCGCCACAGTGGAGCTAATAACCCGCTTCAGCCTCTGAGAGCGCCACGACAAGAGAGAAACCCGAGCCCGGCGTCAGCTGCCATGACGAGCCACGCCCCTTGGGAACCCACTATGCTGGCAGACCCTGGCCCGGAGGCATCGGAAGCGGTCACGAACACCAGCGAGAGCGGATCAAGGCTCCACACCGTCAGTTTCTGAGATGCGGTCGCCTTCAAAAACATGTAATTTTTCCTAGCATTAGCGCGTGCGAGACAAGGGGGGTGGGCATGGCACCTGCTAGGATCGACGCGGCTCCCACCACGTCAGGACGCGACTCTTTGGCCACCCACTGCACCTGAGCAATCACAGCCCGATACGACTTGACCTCAGTAGGCGAAAGGGGGGAATCGGGGTCACTGCGGCGGGATCGATCTAGCGGCATGACCGTCAGCTGCTCTCGTATTTATTTTTCTTGGTCGATGGTTATTCGATCCTTGAATTGACGAAGCTGACGACCAGCGAACTCAGACTCTGACTGACACCACTTCCCGAACCGAAACCTCGAGGTCGCCCTCTCCTTGAAACGCTCCAAGAATCCTGGATTCCCGGTCACGATGAGGTCGTCGACCTCGATGAGGACGAGACCCTCAAGACTGCCCATCCGGCTCCTCAACCAAAGACACGTCTCGAGCAACGATTTGGTGAAGCCCTCCCCCGCGAGCCAGTCGGTCAGTGTGCGATACCACAACAGTGGAGCCTCTTTCAGACCGTAAACGGGCGCAACGAGCTCGATCAAGTGGTCGGGACCAATGGGCAATCCTGAGCAGGGCTCCACAAAGAGGGCGCCACGAGGGCGCTCCAGACGCTGGCTCTGACAAAAAGCATTCTTAGCGTCCGCAATGTTCAAAGTCCAGCCGAATGACGCGGCAATCTGCATGCACGTGAGCACACTCTCGGGCTGAGGTGTCGGAGCGTAGACCTCTAAATTCTCCGAGTCGGGATCCTGGTGTCCGTGCACGCACCAACGGGATTTGGCGGCCGGGAGCGAACCTACTCCCTCGACCGCCTTAAGCCGTCGGACCATCCTGGACGAAAGGATACGATCTGGAAATCGCCTCCGCGCCGACACCGACTCCTCAGGCGACAGCACGCGCACGGCCCTGGTCGCCAGCATGGCGGCTACTTCCTTAGCATCAGACTCGGAAAAGCGATCGCGATCCTCGGGGGATAGGTCCTTGAGCCGAACCTCAGCCCCACGAGGATTGATCTTGGGCGGAGCCTTGCCCAACGCCACGGTCGGGTACGACAGCTCGTCGCCTAAGTCGCACAAGAAAAAGGGGGCTGTCTGGAGCTTCCCGTACGGCCGACCACTCTCGAAGCTCGCGGACCAGGAGACTGTCTTGCTCCTCGTCGGGAGCGTCCCACTCGCTGTCACTCCCTCTGGCTTCCTGGTCTTCTCCGCCAGCGTCGGTACTCTAGCCGGCTACCTCCGCCTTTCCGCCGAACTCCGCCAGGACCTCGGATGCTCCGGGGCGGCCCGTGGGGGAGCGACTCCTGCCAGATGCTCGAGGGCCGGACGAAACGCGGGACTGGGGAACGGACATGTCCCGCCTGGACCCCAGGGCTCGTGCCAGATTGGGCCGCTCATTCACCATGGGAACATCCTGCACTAAGGCTGGCACCGGGCGGAGTAGCGGTTCGGCATCCACCGGATCGAAGCCACTGCCGGCCCCCTCGGGCGGCTGAGAAGGTACTAACTCAAGCGGTGCAGCAGCAGACGCGAGAGGCGAACCTTGAATGGCCACCAAACGCTGCCAAACAGATGGCCTCTCGGGATACTCCTCGATTTGGGGTCAGACGCATCTTCTTTTCCTGGGACTCAGGGCCTTGGGACGCCCGAACCTTGCCATGTTCCTCCGCGACCGGACCACCCTCAGACCCCAGGCTCCGACGGAGCCGATCCCAGGGCGGGAACCAGGGAATCCGCGGGACCCGAGGGCTCGCGAGTGCCCTGGGAAACTTGGCGAGATGGGGCCTGGGGGACGGACGCGACTGGAGCAATCGAGATCTGCTGCCTCGCCGAGGGCGCCTCGGGGGGTGCCGTGTCGGGGGCATCGTTCGCCTCAGGAGGAGGGGGTCCCTCCGCCGTGACATCCACCGCCCCTGACCTCCTGCCCGGGGATCGGATGTCCTCTCGGAGACGATCGAAAGCAGCACTGTCCAGGGGCTCGGCCCCCATAGATTCCGACCGCGTGGCAAACCGAACCTGCTCCGCCGTACATTTCAGCAGCTCGGCCCTCATGGCCACCCAAACGGTCCCCCCACCTTTGCTTCCACCAGCTCCCGCAGACTGATAGATCACGACCCCGGGGCCGGTCCGCCTGTCACGCGTGGAGGGAATGTGATCGATTGGAGGCGGTAATTCTCCTGAACACGTAGACCCAGTCCCCGGGCCTGAACTCGCGCTCCGCTCCTGGTGAGGGCGAGCTTGAGACGCCTCAGCACATCATCTGAACCTATCAGATCAACGGGATCGTCCGACAGGAGGCTTCGAGGGACCCGAGGATTCTGCCCAAAAACGAGCTGCGAGAGACTGTACCCGCCGCGATGGAAGCCCCGATTCTTGCTGGCCACCACCTCACAAAGAAGAAGGTCAATTTCCTCCCTGGACCTCGGGCTGACCGACTGAGCGGCCTTGGACAGAGCCTCCTTAACCAAACCCCCGTGGCGCTCGCACTTGCCGTTCTGATGG